GCAGTGAAGTGACTCTATGAAAGGTAGTGTACAGAAGAAGGAGTGCTACATCCATCGAGACATCATGTGTTGCAGCCTGTTTATCTGTTATTAAACAAACACCCCCCCCCCAAAAAATAAAAAAAAATAAAAAATTTAACAAAACCCAGAGACACCAGATATGGAGCTAATTTGATTTTCTTACTCTTTGAGAGTGCCTGGCAAGCATAATGCTCCTCAGATGTTTCAACCGTGCAGTGGCTCATCTCCTTCTATGCCAGAGCAGCATGACTTTCAAATTACAGATTTTAGCTGGTCAATTTAAACTGTAAATGTGTTAGTGGAAAGTAGCTTGCTTATGAAATGAAAAGCATAATGATAATTCATAAAAGATTTGTAGCACAGTTGCAGTTTCTCTCATCCTTTTGTAAGTGGATACATTTACGGTAAAGTATGCAGAAATGAATAGGTGTGCATAGATTAATATGGTAGTAGTGTGTATATATTGTGCTGTTATCCGTTACAGTGTTTACTTATTCTAACTGTGTCCACTATGTAGCAAACACTATATAGTGGATGGGTGTGTCTGATGTTGGTCCACTAGGATCAACATGAAACTGATAAGTCATGTTGTGATGCCGTTGCCCTGCACTGTGGTGGAAAAGAGGAAAAAAGTCTTTCTTTATACAAAACTCTCTTTTGGAACAAATGGTAAGCATTTCTAAAGTTTTCTTTATGAAGTTATGCAAAACAACAACTATATTACCAACTTAGCTTTGCTTTCAGCCAAATTTAGGTTACTTATGTTGGTTTGCTTGTGATAGCTTTTCATCGCATTAGCTAACTTCTTGGCTAATGCTAACTCTAAGCTTAGAGAACGTGATTGGTCAGCTGCAATGTTGAACCCAGCATTGTTATGACAGTGTACTAACAACACTAACATGGATATAAGACGCTCAGTTTTAATACAAAAGCATTTCACTGTGAGCTACAAGCACCTGGTCCTCCCTTGAGAGAGAAAAGGCAGATGAGGAGCTGTGTGTTCTTCCCTCCTTTTATAAACACAGATTTTTTTTGTTTACATTTACTCCAAAAGCTACTTTTCTATCCTATCTTAGCTTTACGTTGTGTTTAGACTAAAAGTTGAGGGAAGGGTCACGAAGCATGTCTGCGGGACCAGTACAACCTGGAATAAAGGCCAATCTCATCAATTTCCCAGCACAAATATTGGATTTATTAATCTTCTGTGCAGACACTTGTAGTCACACCATTTTCCCTGCCAACTCTCAAGGAACATGTGGAGGCCTTGTATACGGACACTTCACAAAGCCGAGGCAAATTCCATATTTATTTTTTTTTCTTGTTACCATAGTAACATTATACCCATGGGGAGATAGCTGGCTCATATGCAGTCTTGGGATGCAAATCCCTTCGTTAAGCTTTGCAATTGAAAATGCAAACACATTCAGCAGAAAGACATCTCTGAAACACTTACAAATGTGCATAAAATATTTGATATTGTTTGTAGTAGATGTTCTCTTAATGTGTGTTATCTGAGCAATTTAGGAAAAGCTTCCTCAATTAGGTATATGGGAATTCAAACAGTGCTTTTGCGATGATAGATGGTATGTATTTCATAACATATTCATTGGCAGCATTTTGCACAGCAGCATTTGTTCTGCCAGCAGGGGCTTGTCTGTTCATATCTGTATTTTAGAAATGCCTACATCTCATAAATGGATTTTCAGAAAGAAAAACAAGACAACAAACAAGATACCTAATTTAGAAAGATTTGCAAGAAAAAAGGAAATCAGTAAATAAGTAAATAACAGCCAACAGTGGGAGTGGCAGTAGATGTGACTTCCTTAGGAACATCAAACTTTGTGCACTTATCAACAGACAGAAAAATGAGGAAAAACTCTATTACCAGGGCAACCAAACAACATGTATGCACTGGGGAGCTATTTATGATTTGGAAATAACTACCCATCCAATTTTTCCAAACTTTGTTAAAGGGCAGCTTTAAAGTCTGCTGAACAGATAGAGAGCTGCAGGGTGTTTTAAAGACTCAGAACAGGAACATGTCAAGTCCAATTTCAGATACAACCATGATAAAGCGAGTTTCTCTTGATATGAAAAAAGTGCTCTCATAACGAATGAATACAGAATACTACAGATTTTCTGGCTGTGTGTCCAAAAAATATCGCTTTTGTTGCAGGAATTTGTATTAGAACTGCAGACATTACTTGCCACTGGCCTTACAGATAAGGTCAGAGTTCATGATTCAGAAACAAGAAGGTGACTGGGCAAAAATGGCATATGTGGGAGTGTTTCTAGGCAAAAAAAACCAAAACACTGCTGACCAAAGAGAACACAATTTCCCACATTTTCAGAAAAGCATCTGGTTTTAAACTAACACACCATTTAATAGAAAAAAAGATAATAGTAACAGTCAAATATAGTGGTGGTAATGTGATTGTCTGGGGCTGCTCTGCTGCTTCAGGATCTGGATGACTTGCTGTAATTGACGGAACCATGAATTCTGCTTTCTATTCACAAATCCTGAAGTAAAGAATATCTGGCCATCAGTTTGTGCCATAAAGCTCAAGCGTACTCTCATTTGGGTTATTCAGCAGGACAATGATCCGAAACACACCAGCAAGTTAGTAGCATGCAATACAAAATGGTTTTGGAGTGGCCTAGTCAAAGTCTGGACTTAAATCCAATCAAGATGTTTTGGCATCACCTTAAACAGGTAGTGGCTGAATTAAAAGTATTCTGCAAAGAAGATTGGGACAGAATTCCTCCAGAGTTATGTGAAAGACTTTTTTTCTGCCTTAATAAATAAAATCATCTTTTAAAAACTGCATTTTTGCATTAATTCACATGTCACGTGAGTACTATGAAAAAATTTGGGGTGATTTTTGGTAAGTGTGACATTAAATAAAATAAAAAAATCAGAAACAGAGCAAATACTTTTTCACAGCAATTTAAGTGGATGAAAAACAGCAGCATAAGACTCAATTGGAAAATGGGATATTGCACCACAGAAGAAAGCTCATATAAAATGTTGTGATAGTGGACGTCTCACTGTGCTGCTTGCTTCTGCTGTTGTGGCAGAAGTGATTATATTTCTCTGGACTTGGAGAACTGCAATAAAAGTGACTACAAGTCTACCACTTCAGTATGGGCATCCCCAGTAGAAAGGTGCAAACGACTACAAAAAATACCAAAGCATCTGGACACTGTGCATGCGTGCATGTCCCGTGACAGCTGAAGACTTAAACACTGGGAGGAAATGAAACCCTCTGTAAGCCTTCTAGGATGCCTATGGAAGAATCCCCCAACAGCTTGTGGCAGGCATTTTGTAGAGCAGAGGGGGCCAAAATCTAATCAGTGACTTGGTACATCTGGTCAACATTAGCATTTAGTTCTCTAGGGTCAGTGGGTGAGTGCTGTTCACACTGAGGCACAGAGGATTGTGCCAGCAGAAAATTAGATGAGGAGAAATCGTTCCCCGGTGCAGTTTTTGTGTTATATTCTGCCACATTTTCAATCAAAGGAACATTTCATCTTAAATATGTGGAGAACTGCAAAGCTACTGTAACTATAACACCAACATGTGAATGTGTACTTTATATCTAAATAAAGACATAAATTACAGTTATGCAAAAGGCTTCTATAAATCGCTAGCAAATCATATTTTTCTGTACTCAGACAGCACTGTTTGCTCAGTGTAAAGCTAATTCTTCAGCAGAGGGGTCACTGTCACACCCGTCAGCAGGGTTTATCTAGAAATGAGCAAACAGAATGGCAGATGACTCTTTTCATGCTTGCCGTGAACAGATCACAGTGCCGAAGAACTGAGTCCAGCTCCCCGGCCGAGCTTTGACTATGTGCCACTAAAACAAAGCAATACTCCTACATGCAGATCAAGGGACACTTTTTCACTTTAGCTGCCAATGGAGACATTTGTCCAGACTTAATTGGAGTGGAATTTTCAGCGAGGGTTTGAAAATCTGACAGCAGGGGGAAAACAATGGGCCCAACAGCTGCTCAAGTCCAAGGCTGAACATGCCAACTTGCCATGTGTACAACTTTGTGGCAATGTGAGTTATTTAAGCTGTTTGAAGACAGGGGGGTTTCATTTCCCATTAAGACACACAGCACTCTGCATCTCACATAAACTGCACTTGCATCCAGCAGGACTAAACTAGCTCATCATAGTGAGAAAGTATATCTGTACCTCTTTACTCTAAGGGATCATTGTATAATCCTTTGGCCATCAAGCGGCTGCTTCCTGTAAACGCACACACACTGCCTCTCTCACTCGTTTACTAGCACCTCTCTCTCTCTCTCACTGCTACTTTCATCTGTCTTCTCTCTTGTTGGATAAGGAGCGGCTCTGCCTGCCACTGTGCACTTCCCCTCTCAAAGAGCCATTCATTGCTGCCGGCAGCAGGACCTCAGCTAAGAGGGCTTCAACTTCTCTACCTCCTGCCTTTTGGCAACACGCTTTCAATGCAAACATTCCCAAGGTAAATGCGCTCACTCATTCAGCTCACCACAGACTTGAAAGCAAAAAAAAGAAAAAAAAAAAGAAGAAAAAATGCGATAGAGGAGAAGCCGACAGATGTTGCCCCAGCCTTTGGACAAGTGGTCAGACCATTGCTCATCTTTTCCTCAGTGTATTGAGTTTCATCGAAGAATATAAAAGGTTTTACAACAGTGAGTGACATGTGTCCCGTGAGAATGAATAAACAACAGTAAAAGGAAGACAACTGAAGATCTGATGTGGAGTTACTTAGAAAGTTTGTACCCCAGTGCAGCATCTGTAAAGGATAACGTTGATACTGGGTTTGTTTTGAGGGATTAACTTGTCAGCCAACCATGGTTGGATTTATGCAGAGGGGAAGCCTCAGACAGAGATGGTGATCTGATCTTTTTCTGTGGATCTCTGACAAATGGGAGCAGAAGGGGAGAGCCAGGACACTAAAAGAGGGATTTGCAGTGGCACTTACCTCCATGACCAGGGTTGGGGAGGCAGAGCAGTACACTCAGGAAGGCACCAACAAAAACCAGATGCAGGGCTCTCATATTTTCGTTGCTGAAGAGTTAAGTCCTCCACTGTTGTGTTAAAGACACTCCATTCAGAAGAGACTGAATGAGTTTCCAGTTTTGGGACCTGCTACAAGATACTTCTCTATGTGAAGGGGCAGGGCTGGGGAGGGACCGCTAGAGGGACGCCTTCTTTCCAACCCCAGCCCCTACCCTTCTCCAGCACACTTGCACGTGCACACGTTACACACACACAGATCTTCAAAGAATGGAAAATCATAACCAGACTCTCTTTGCTGACCCAACACTTACATATTTTTACAAGTACAATACCCGTTTATACATATATTTGTCTCTCATACGCACACACACGCACACAACAAATTTACACGCATCAATTTACATGGCTTTTGTAACACCACACAAATCAAAACTCTGACACGACAAGCTCACTACTCCAGTGGATTTTTTCCCTTTTGTCTCAGTCTGTAATTGGAGTGCCCTTTAGAGACCAGCAGCTCCCGTTTGCAAGGATAAACCCTTTACTTTTAATTAAAGACAACTCAGGTTGCCATTGGTGCTTTATCTTTCGAGCCTTTCCCTTGATCAATGTCTGGCTCTTCATGTTTTTGTTCAACAAACCTGCTCCTGAAGCTAATTAAGCTCGCACTTGAGTGTGGAGTAGAGGTTGGTTGCTCTGGATTTGCATTCTCTCTTGTCTCCCTATTGATAAGGCAGGGACAATAGAAAAGTTTTACTGCGCAAATAAAGCACTCTGGGAAAGACTTTATTTGTGGTGAGTGCTGTCGCTGATTGTTCTCCACTTGGCTTATACTTTCATTTCTGGTAATGAACATGCATACACTCATCACAAGGATTAGTATTTTCTGGCTGGATGCTAAGATTAAACCTCAAATTCACTCGCAAAGCTTGAACGTTCAATTTCATCTGTCTCACAGTCAGCAGATTGGCAACCTATTCGTCACTCTTGCTGACAGCTGAAATGGGAATACAATTAGAATATTCTGAACACTTCCTCTCAGGTGTGGAATGACTTTACAATAGCTATTCGCCGTTCACTGCAGCCCGTGCAGATTAATTAGACTTTTGCTTTTCAGCTGAACAAACAATGCCTCTGAAATTACCTTCAAATTAACTGGCATGTGAAATATTACAGATAATTTCAAATGACTTATGACAGTCAGGAGAGCTTTTTGCATTAACTGTGGATTGATTGGACTGCATATTTGTTAGTCTCAGACTTGGTGAACGGACAACCTGAAATGTTTAAAATAAGCACTTTTTGTCTCTCAGTTGTATTTCATACATCTGAGGAGAAAATAACAAGCTTCCTTTCAACCACATGGTCTTGTATGTGTAAAACTTCCCATCCCATAATGTGGATAGTGCATAATCTTAGCTACGGTGGTCACTGTAGGACAAACATATTTTAGTTAGCCAAGAGAGACCTGTTCCTGTGTTTCTGCTATTGTTTAGACTGGTTCTGGAGCTGCCCCAGAATTGTCTCCTATCTGTAGGAGTCTACTGTTTACCTCAGCTGTCAGTGTCGGGTTGTTGCTCTCTCTGTCTGACCCTTACTGAATAAACTCTCATATGATGTGAGAATGTAATCAAACTGTTTATCAGTTTATCAGAAAATATTATTTTTAGGATGATTCAGCCTAATATTAGTTGGCAGAATAGGCTTATAACATGTCACTGTTGTTGCATAGGGTCGCATGTCTAATCTGCTGACAATAAGTAACTACAACAATATTGGGAATAAATAACATGTTTATGCACATTTTCATGTGTTAGAGCCCTGGCTTCAGTTCAGGAGATGAGGCCTGAGGTTATGAGAAAGAGGATGACATTTTCGCTTCTTTGGTGTAGAGTACCCCTTCTCTGGCAATATGCTAGTATGTGGCCAGTCTCTAACCACATACCAGCCACTGTATTCAAATATGATGCTGGGAACATGGCGGCCTCCACAAACCGCAAACCTGCTCCTGTGTATTTTCAATGTAATAATTCTAAGTTTGAATGCATTGTACACATAAGCACTTTTTATTTAAATAGCATAAAAGCCCAATTCTCCAAAACACGATTGTGTTGAATAAAACAAAGGCGTAGATCCATTTAACATGAAGAAGACCTCATTTCTCCACATTTCAAAAAAGAGCATGAGCCACTGTGACCATTGGAAGACCTGTAAAAACATATCATACTTGTAACACAACACCATTTATTGCTGGCAACCTTTTCTGTCACCAAAGCCTTACTGACTATTTCAACATGACACAAGCTACAATTAAAACGCTCCCTCTGAGCCTTAGCCAACCGTTTACACCAATGACATGCTCTCGCCTCCCTGGGGATGCATAACTCTCCCTGGAGGGATGTCACCCACTGATATGAGTGGGCTCCTGCAGTATGTGAAAGCAAAGGCAGGCTTATGTAACCCACAACACCAGGAACCCCTTTACCATAAGCATGACAGATGATGTAAGTAGATATGTGTGAACTTGTCTATATTAAAGTAAATTGATGCTATTTATGAGACTTTTTTTTGGTAATAATGAATATGGTCATGCAGTGATTAAAGGTGTCCTGTGGAGGCTTTTAAACAAACAGGTTTTTGTTTACATTCAAATATGCTCACAAAGTACATAATACGTATCCTCGAGGTCTACAAGCATGTTGAATGTATTTCCAACCTCGTAAAACATCTGCTTTTTGTTTACATCGCTATGTGTAATTCTTTATGCCTATTTTTACAGCTGTGCTGTGCTGTCTGCAATTGCTGTCTCTTTACATTATGCTGATATTCTGCATGTGTGCATGTATTGTGGTGCAGCACAAGACAAAAGCAAATAAAGATTCACTCAAACATTACACTGCAAAAAACACCACTAGTGAAAAAAAACATGATATACCATTAAATCTGTTGGGGTTTTTTTTGCCACCATAGTCCAGCAGGACTACCTTGAAGCACAGTGTCTGTGATAGGGATGCGGTTATTGCTGCGGACTTGTTAGGAATCATTTGCCTGTGAATATTTCAAGGAGCAACATTAGCATTCATTTAGAGTAATGTTTCTGTCCAGAAGGTGAAGATAAGGTTCCCCATTCACATGGATAACATGGTTCAGTTCATTCCACTGGCTGGGCCATAGCTCAAGAGGTAGTTGGTCCTCCTTGCAAAGTACTTTTTGAGACATAACTAAACAACTGCATTTTATTTACAATTGCCCATAACCCTGTAAGACCCAACCCATCAAAAAATTAGCCCAAAAATTCAGATTTTTTGGAACTGAGATGTTTATTGACCCTTATAACAAAATTCACAATTTTTTTTGCAATATCAATTTGTGTATGATATAATTTTATGATATATTTATTATATATTTTTGTATCACATTTGATACATTAGGTGTTTTTGGCAACTGTTTGTTAACAACAATGTTAATTTTAGACAAAAAAAGAATTTTGTTCCTAACATTTTGAAATTATGGCAAGTATTGATCATGTTGATGAGATAGAGGTCTCAGAAACTCATGTGTCAAATATGATACAAAGGGCATTATAGAATTAATTACAGTTCTGTCATTAAAACAAGGGAGAATCTGATGGGTTGTAATTCAGCATTCTGGTAAAGAAATGTTTAAATGTACGTGAGACAGTTTAATTTTTTATTTGTTTAGTCACAGCCCTGGTGATGTTTTTCATAGCAAGTAAAGAATCAATGTAAAAACAAAAATAAAACAATCTAATAATTAATCTACTTGTGATATCTACAAGTACATATACACTTTACTGCCAAAAGTATTCGCTCATCTGCCTCCACACTCATATGAACTTGAGTGACATCCCATTCTTCATCCATTAGGTCCTAACCTTTGCACCTATAGCAGCTTCATCTCTTCTGGGAAGGATTTCCACAAGGTTCAGGAGTGTTTATGAGAATTTTTGACTATTCAAGAAATGCATTTGTGAGGTCAGACATTGACATGTGACGAGAAAGCCTGACTCACAGTCCCCACTCCAATTGATCCCAAAGTTGTCCTATCGAGTTGAGGTTGGAAATCTGTACAGGCCAGTCAAGTCCTTCTACACCACATTTTCTCATTAAAACTTTGTGCGATGGTGCACAGTCATATTCTAACCAGAACGGGCCATCCCCAAACAAAGTTGGGAGCAAATTGTCCTAAATGTCTTAGTATGCTGAAGCATTTAGATTTCTTTCCACTATAACTAAGGGACTAAGCACAACTCCCGAACATGCAGAAAATATTTTTAAGAAAATCTGAGAGCCATTTTTTTTAACCTCCTAGGACCTGGCGTTCACATATGTGGACATCACATTTTGGGTTGTCTAGACCAAAATATTACATTTTGCTCTACAAGGGCCTGATATCCACTTACGAGGACATTATACTGCTACTGTGCTATTGAAATTTTAAACAAATATCCTCATATGTGAATCTCATTTTTCTCAGGAACAAAGATTTGGTAAAAAAAATAAAAGAAATCTGGTAATTCTTTGTTTTTACATTCATCAGGTGCCAATCAGCCCAAATATTGAAGAGAAATTAAAAATGCATGCCATTGAAGACTTCGGGTCTTAGGAGGTTAAAGAAAGTAGAGATTATTTGCTAACTGGGGAAACAGTGAAAATGTTTTGTTTTCCAACTGTTCTCTCCAATCTTTAAGTCACAGTGGCCACTGATTTCACTTACGGTATTGCCATGTAGCAGTAACGCACCAATATGAGTGCACCTAGTGATATGCCAGGTAAGTAGCAGGTAAGTAAAAATTGCCACTGAATCAATCTTTTCCTCCCAGCATTTGAATTTCTGTTTAAGCTAAATTAGGGCATTTAGCAGACCTTTCAATGTTGTCTTATTGTACCATCCTTTTACATCTGCAAAGACACATGAAACACAGATTGGAAATACTGAACTAAAATGATTCTTATTTGACTTTGACAGGTTTATGTTAGTCTGATGAAAATTTGATATTGAAACATTTTTAATGTAAAAGATATTTTTATAAATGAACACTGTAGATTGGCTCCCTATCACTTGTATTTGTGTTAGTAGCATTATCACTGTGGGAAGGACAAATGATTAATGTATATC